GTTCATATTTGGAAAGGGTAAATACTTTTTCGCGATCAGGTAATTTCATATATGTTCTTTTTTACCGGGTTTAAAGATTGAGAAAATTGTCATGTATTTTCGTGAAATTTTTCTAATTTATGAGAAAAAAGCAGTGTACATGGATATAGTGAAGAGTGTGCGCGCAATGCCATTTTTGTGCAATTCTGGGATGTTTTTTTTAAGTAAAAATAAGTCGGCGTGTACATGGTTTATGTGTATGTGTTATTTTGAAAAACGCGTAAGGGAGTATGGTATTGTGCACTTTTCCTTTTCCCAATTCCCATTTTGCAGTGAATATTTGTCATGATTAAGCAGTTTTGTTTGATAAAATTTCTAGCATAAGTGTAATTCGGCTAGTAGATTGTTGGAAGAAAGTGTTCAGTAGATAAAAGAAAAGAAACATGTCTTTACTTCGTGAAAACAAAATGGCAGCGGGAAAAAAAAAAAAAAAAAAAAAAAAAAAAGAGGGTTGTTGTAGGAGAGTTGGTTGCCAAATTTTCGCCAAAAAATCGCCAAGTTATCATAATGTAAAGATCAACCGAAATTTCCATTCTACAAGTCAACAAGTTGTATTCTTAAGCCAATCAATTAAAGATGCACTTGATAAATGAAATTCGGTACTGGCTGTTTACGTAGATTTCCAAGCAGCTTATGATAACGTTTGGAGGTTAAAGGCTGTTCAAAAACTTCAGACATACGGTGTTGGCGGAAAAATGTTCCTTTGGTTAAAACATTTCTTGACCATTGTTAAAACATTTTCTTTGTGCTACTCGTTATGGCACACCACCACTTCAAAATATAAACAAGTTGAAACGGGTTTGCCTCAGGGCACAGTTATTAGCCCTATTCTCTTTAACATGTCTCATTAATGATCCTACCAGGCATATCCTGGAATCAGATAGGAATCGTGAACACTGCCCTTTTTGCCGATGATCTTATCGTATGGGCCAGAGCTAAAAAAAAAGATCAAGATGGTTTAAACCAAATCTTAAATTCTGCACTCCAGAGACTTGAGGAGTGGTGTTCTGCCAATAATGTGAGAGTTAATCTGGGGAAGACTACTTGTCAGTTTTCCTCTCTCAACAGACACCACTTTACTCCTAGACTAATGTATGAGAAGTCGGTTTTGCAGCAGACGGATGGTGCCACCTATCTTGGCAGTATTTTTGACAAGCACCTAACCTGGAGAAAGCATGCAGAGCATGCAGTTGCTAAGACGGAGCATAGATTACCTATCCTTAAATGCTTAGCTGGTGTTAAATGGGGTTGTGATAGAGAGACTCTCAACTCGATGTATAAAATGTATATATATTCGACCAATACTGACATTATTGCTGTGAGATAGTGATCTCGGCTACGCAAGATGTGATACAACGTCTGGAGGTCTATTCCAAAATCAGGCACTTGCGCATTATAACTGGAGGCTGTTAAAACGACTCCCATTCTGGCAATGCAGTTAGGTATCAGCAAAACCAACCAATGACAAACCTGATTCAGAAAAATGCTTTCATCCTTTTTCCAGGAGACTTATTTCGTCTACCAAATAACCCTCATTGGAGGAACTATGATTATAATAAACAATGAAATCTGAAGACACAAAATGGCTTTCTGCAATGTGTTTCTCGCCTAGAACAATACAATCATTTAAGAACACTGAAACCGCCACTGCTGTTTTTGCTAAATCCGTTGGATTATAGCTTCCTTGATGTGCGGTTGGACCTGGAAATGAAAGTTGATAAGAAGGAAATGAGTCCAGAGCAAATAAGAACTATAGCTTTGGAAACAATTGAGCAACGTTTTCCGGCTGAGGAATGGATACATGTATATACGGATGACTCTCTGACCGATAGGATTCAAGGGGCTGGAGCTGGAGTTTTTAGAAAGCTTTTCAGTTTCTACATACCTGTAGGGGCTTACTCTACTCACTTTGATGGAGAACTGAAAGCCAATCATGTAGCTCTCCAACAATTATTATTGATACAGAGCTCGTTCAGGAGGGCTGTTGTACTGTGATTCGACTTTAGCAATGCAGGCCATCTCCTCTTACCAAGAGTGTAAGAACACTTGCGTTCAACAGTGTCAGGAAGTCATAAAAGAACTTTCCCACAAGATATCTTTTCAATGGGTACCTTCACACTGCAGTATTTATGGCAATGAGATAGCTGATATGCTTGTGAAAAAGGGGGCTACGTTTCTCCAAAAGCCAAAAACGAGTGCAAGCCTCCATTCTATTAAGCTTCTGACAGCGCTAACATATCAAAAGACTTTTAGGGATTTTGCCACTCAGGCTAGTGAGGGCAAGCCTTGGAGAGTCTCTCATCAAACCCAGGTTTTGTTTCTGACCACCCGCAAACAGTTGCGGTTGCATCTTTTAGACTATTGACGGGAAACGACTGCCTACAGAATCATTTATTTCTCACTGGACTAGCTGAGTCGCCATTGTGTGTTTTATGTAATAGTGGATGGCCAATGATGGCGGAACATTTGGACGAGTGTGAAGCACTGACAAATTTTTCTTGTAGATTTCAGCGCTATTGGCAAGCAAGGAGTTTAATGGCCTAACAGCCAATGTAACTGGCATTTGACAAATAAATAAATCTTCCAGGATTCCAAATAATTTGAGAAAGCAGGAATAATTGCAAGCTACTTTTATGTTCCCAGTGTTGCAACTTATGAGTATACGCTGCGATGGCATCCTGATGATAAATTCAAAAATATCTGATAGACAAGCCAATACAACTTGAACACTTAGCTTTTGGATTTCCACATACAATTTGGTTCAATTTTGAATTTCCCATAACTGAATCACTTCACCTCAAAGTTCAAATAATCTAGCTAACACATTTCCTTTTGAAAGCTAGAATTCTGCCATACGAAATAACAGTGTTCTGTGTTCTGCTCTCAAATCTTCACAAAGGGCCACAAAAAGTCAAGTATTTAAAGCACTCTTTTTAACATGATTGACAATTTTGATGCATAATTTTAAGACATCGTTGAAATCATTTGGAAGCATCTTAGCTGCCAAGGCTTGATGGTGTATAACAGAGTGAATAGCTGTAACACTGGGATTTTTTTCCCCCCTCTGACAATCTCTACAAATCTTGAGCAAGATCCAAGCATTGACGGAGTATCATCTGTGCATATGCCTATCAGCTTTCATCATGAAAGTTCATAACCTCCTCAAAGGATATTTGCAAAGGAATTCAGAGATTGCTGTTATTATACAAATTGCTTTTGAAGTAGTCGTTAACTCTGTAGAAGAACTAAATGAAAAATAACAGTTGACAACATTTTACAACATCTGTACACTTATCCAGCTTTACTGTGAAAAAATTTGATTCTTTTATGGATTGCACCAAGTGATTTTTTAAGTCTTCAGCCATATCATGAATGCAACATTTCAGTGTTCTCGGAAAGCAGTATTTTTGAAAACGTCTGTTTATTTTCTAGTCCAAGAACAATATCAGCTGCTTTTAACAGACAAAGTTTGACGAGTGTTTCTCTGATAATATGACTTGTCTTTGCGATGAGTACGGATAACTCATATACGAAGCTTCGAAAGATTCAATATTATCCAATTTCAAATGTTTCATATTTGCATATTTTGCAGAAAAATTCTGGCTTGTCTTTTAACATGCTATATTTTGTCCACAAATGTTGCTCCAGATGAGGTCTCATAATATCATTGCTTGTAACAAGTAACACATTGCGGCTGATCGACACCAATTTTTTTAGCTATGAAACCACATTTAATAGAATCATATTGCATTTGCGTTTTTTCGCTGACCTCATGACAAGGGGAAAAAAAAAATAACAAGTTGACAGTTTATTTTCGCATTAAAAGCAAACAACATAACATGTGTATCCGGAACTCACATAGAACGATATCACAAACCTGAACTCTTGATACACGTGACCTCTGACACCATCTTGACTACTATTTTGTGCATTCAAAAAAAGGTAAAATTAATTAAACTGTTCTACATATGTATCTTATTTTTACTACTGTACATAAACGTCTGTAAATAAATATATTTGAATTATTGGATTATGCTAATTCTGTACAGTGGCTCCCAAAAGTGTTCATACACTTTAAGAATTTGTAGATGTGCTCATACACATTAAAAATTTGTAGAATGGAAATGAATTTGAACATAAAGCCCACTATTTTTTCATACCATCTCCATGTGATCTTGAAGAAAACTAAATTTTTTTTTTTAACACTGAACTTATTTCGTTTTTCCTAAATCAAAAAATGTAAGGAGGCACAGATAAAAAAACAAGCAACAAAAGTGGTATATAAGCCTGAAGTGCATTAGAACGATGTCTTACTTGCAGATTAAAGTAAATTTAACATTTTCGGTCCCAATGGGTGTATAACTGTATGGACAAGAAAAAATGAGGGACATAATTTCAAGAAGGGCGGAACAGTAAAGCATGGCAGTGGAGGTGTCCTTGTGTAGAGGTAAATATCAACATTAGGATTAGGTATTTATTGATGGCTCTTTATTTAAATACTTTAAAAGGTAATTTAATATTATCCTCCCCAAAATCTGGGTATTGGACACTACTTTTTATCAGGATAACGATCCTAAGCACACGGCCGTCAATGTTCACCTTTGATGTGTCTATAACTGTCCACAAATTCTTAAAACACCATCTCAGTCACTAAATTAAAACAGTACAGAATGAACTTGGACAGAACTAAAGGTTAAAGTACAAAGACATAGCATAAAAACGAAAACCGAACTAAAAACAGGAATGATGGAAGAACATTGATGCTGATATTTAAAAAAAAAAGTTCAACTATATTAACTAATGTATTTTTACTAAGAGAAATTCATATATGTTATTAAAAAATTCTAATTCTCAAATTTTATAAGCGATATTTCACTGAAACTCGTAAGTGCGTGAACATTTTTGGGAGCCATTGTACGTCGATATTCAACAGTTTGTAATGACATTTTAATTAAAAATACCTTCAAATATTCCAAACTCTTCATTAATCTGTAATAATTTAAAAGCACTTCTCGCTCTCCATCCTTCCTCTTTGGCAAGACGATAATAAATATCGCGTTTATCTTTAGAAGATCGTCCCATCTAGAGCCTCTAATGAATTTGAAGAATCACACTGCAGAATATGTACGATTTTATACTAACATTAAATAACTTACTGACAAAATATAAACTGGTAATAGATACACCAATATGATCGCACCACAGTTCTAAAATTCAAAAATATAAATACTTTCACGTTGCGTTCTCACAGAAAGACTTTTGGCCAATTGAACTGAAAATCTAGCCGCGAATGTAAACATTTTAAGTAAAAGCACTGAAACTCACTCAAGAGCATGGGCCTGAGAACTCTCTGCAGCGAGTTTTTTTTAAAATTCCTCACCGTTATTGAAAGTTTCCGGCAGTTTAAAATCCTTTATTTACAATCTTGAATTTTTTTATTATTTGACTTTTTCCCCTGCGGGCAGAAGAGTGCAAATGTCACGGCCGAAACAAGAATATCCATGAATCTCTATGCGCAAATGCTACGAGAACGATATTAAAAATTTTTAAATTCTACAGAACAAATTCATACGTACGGTAAAGTGGTTCACATTTATTTTCAGATACTTTTGTTTAGGTTGTTTGAACAAATTTTGAGAAATATGAATGCAACCTTTTGGCAATAGATGGCGCTGACCATTGCACTGGATTTCTGACGGCAGAATTACGGGTTGCTACCTTTGACTAGAGCTACTAGAGACCTTTTACAGTAGCCTTACCTTTGGCAGGATTCTCGCGGAGGGGAAAATAGAAATTTTTGCCAAAGATAGTCGAAGCTAATGACCCGGGTAACTATAGCAACGCCGTATTAGGATTTAAACACCATCTGAAATAGCGGAAAATGGAAAAAACTTCGTAGGGCGTCTATAGTTTTTTTTCAAAGCAGGAAGGATATATATTCAGTGATCGTCTTAGAAAATAGTACCAATCACTTGTTCAGTATTAAACGCTATAATGAATTAATACTTAGCCTTCTGTAGATTTTGAAAATTTCATTTGCAATATTTAAAAATGCTGCTTCGTTTTTCGATAAGATTATAGACCCTAGGATAACAATTATTAATAATCAAAGCTCTCTCTCCAGAGTCGTAGCTAGGGTTTTCAGCGCCCAGGGACAACTGAAGATTTCGCGCCCCCTATTGCTTGCCAAGGATGGAAAACATTTAATTCTAAAAGTCGTAACATCAGTTTGGCGCCCCTTGGATTCTGCGCCCGGGGACAGATGCCCCCCCCTCTAGCTACGCCCCTGTCTCTCTCTCTATATATATATATACTTGTTCCTGTGTTGCATTGGAAATATTTTTATTTTAGTCTTATTTAGAAATTTTTATTTGCTTATTCAGCATTAGACATTTTAAAACTTTTACCACATTAAAAGTAGTACGAGCAGTAAAATAAAAATATAGTTCAATCGTTTTATAGTCAAATTTTTTGTGTGATAACTGAAGACGACCACATTTTAAAATGACCAGTCTTTCTGAAAATATACGTAAAACATTGCTTTTAAACAGTCATTTTCATAGAAAACCAAATCTTTTGGACATGTTGAAGATTGTCTTAGAAAGGCTATATTTTATTCTGTAATTTTCTTCAATTTAAATGATAAATCAGAGACTGAAGATGATATTTTCGCGCATTAAGCTACAGAAAAAGTACCATTAAAGACATAAAGTAAGAAATTAAGAACTAATATCTCACAAAGACCAGAAATTGAAATTCATAGTTAATAAACTTCAAATAATCATATAAATGCAACAAAGAGTTTAAAAATGTTAAAACCAAAACATTTCAAACAAGTAAAACCCACTTTAAAAAGTTAATGAAATATAAAGAAAAATGAATAAAAACAGAAGAGAAATTCAATCAACTAATATCACTTCATCAGGGAGGAGGAACATTGAAATTAACTGAAATCTCTCTTCTACAAAAATCCTTGTTTTTCTGTATCCAGAATTAGCCCACGAACCATTTCAATGTATTTTAATTATAATAGTTCACCAAAAAATTCTGGCCCTTCCCCAAAGAAAGTAAAAAACGAAGTAAATTCTAATTAGAATAATTAGAACGATCTCAAATAAAGAGAATTCTACTCTTTTAAAAGAATTGAAAACAAAATACTTCAATGAAAAATTGTAAATAAAAATGTTTACTTTTAATTAGATAATCCAATGAATTAAGATGTGAGTGAATTCATAAAACAATTAAAAAAACATAATTAGAACACGCGAAATGTAAATAAGAACTTCGAACACCTTATTAGACACCAGTCCACGGAGTATAACGAAGGAGGGGGAACAGGTATTAGCGTTTTTCCCAAAAATAGTCCACTTTTTGTCACATTATTTATAGAGGGCGCTGCAATCACCAGAGGCTTGTCTTGTCGTAGTATTTGATATAGGCAGCAATACCGAAAATATTGATTTGATACCAATTTCCATTATGAATAAGTCTTGTAATGCAACCTGTTGCGTCCCTGGATGCAACACTGGTTATACAACTGTCAGGCAGAAGAATAAAAGCTTGGGAATCAAGAATCCAAGTAGATTTAGGGCTCCAAAGGTGAGCAGCATTTATATCATGCCTGATCACAGTCAGGTGAATTTATATAACTTTACAGAACGTCTTGATTGCTTTTAAATAAGAGGATATTTAAAGAGAAATATATTGGAAATTAGTTAAATATTTCACATAACTTATGGGCATTTGCATTTCATGCATGAAAGCAGGCAATCGTGAGATTTTAAAGTTAAATAAATTTCTAATTATACAAAAATGATAGAATATTTGCTTTTTTATTTCATTTACAGAAAAGAAGATAAACTCATTCCCCCTTCTTTTCCGTTTGAAGTAGGTTTTTATAATAAATGGAAATGAACACTATGCTGCCTAAAATTAACTTTTACCACATTATATCACATCAACATAACTGCAGATAAGTGTAATGAAAAACTGATTAGCCATGAGATAAATTCAGCATATTAAATAATTATGAATATTATGAAAAATTGTCACCTAATCGCATATCGCATAAATGAATGGCTATTAAAATTAAGATTTAAATCTACGTACAGTGCAGGGTGAGAACCGTTATGCATAAGGATTTTAAATTTGAATGTGTAAAACTATTCAAGGGTTACGTGCTGCAATTAAATTTTAATTTGCCATTCCAATTTTCAAATTAAATTTTAATCATTAAATACTAAATTTGCATTAATTACGTAAAAAAATTGCATGCAACATATTAAATAAGTTATGAATATTATGAAATCATGTCACCTAATCGCATAAATGAATGGCTATTAAAATTAAAATTTAAATCTACGTACAGCGGAGGGTGAGAACTATTATGCATAAGGATTTTAAATTTGAATGTGTAAAACTATTCAAGGGTTACGTGCTGCAATTAAATTTTAATTTGCCATTATAATTTTCAAATTAAATTTTAATCATTAAATATTAAATTTGCGTCAAATACGTAAAAAACATTGCATGCAACAAGAGTATTTTTATTTTGTACGTAACTGAATTCTGATATTTATACATACTTGTTGAAATATATTTCCGTGCACCAATCTAATCTATGAGATGCGAAACAGGAAGGGAAGTACAGGTTTGCCATTTGGGCTTCATTGGAGAAACTGTAAAACCTTGGCTAGCATGTAATCGCTCAAAATGCTAAAATCTTGTACGTAATATGTAATTTTGAAAACAAAAGAAAAACATTTAAATATTTCAATGAAAATTTATTTATATTTTTAGTCAAAGAAAAAGATTACATATTAATTGAAGGAAATTAAAGAAAATTCTTACGCTTGTAAAACAAAAATGGATATGTATGTCGGCATAGCTAGAACTTTTGCCTCCCGGGACGAACTCTGAGTGTGTCCGCCTAGGCAGTCTTTGAATTTGTCTCTCCTTATAAGCAAATGACTGAATGCAAAAATGACATAGAGGAAAATAAATTAAAAATCTACCTTTACTTCTGAAAAAAATTTTAATTCCATCCTTTTGAAATTGTGTTTATTATTATTATTATTATATTTGTTTGCAAAGCCACCTATTATTACAGAGTATTATGCTGATACTACAGAACTATTTCTTAAATACAAAATTAAACATTTGTAGTTCTAAAATGATTTTTATTTAAAAAATATGATTACAACTAGAAACACATCAATTGTGAAAAAATTTTTTAATTATCTGAAGAGCTGTATTCAGAACAAATAGCAAAACGTCAACAGAAGCCATCTTCCACATTCCTGTTTCGTTTTCTTTAGCAATCATAACGGAAATAAAACTTCCAACAGGAAGCATTTTTCTCTAACTGGGGAATTCTTCCATATTAACCTTTTGATGGTCCTCAACGAGCTCAGCTTATATTACAGTTTAGCACCGTAGTGGGCGCAAACAAACGCAGCTCGTCTTCAAATTTGAGTCTGACAGATGTCGCTCGTATTTGGAAAGAAAGAATTGCTTAATCTCGCCACACCCCCGTAAGTTTAATGCACCGAGATTGCAATTTTCAAGTTTTGAATGAATAAAAATGGTATAAGAATGCGTAGCTGTTGAAATCTCGAGGTGACTTCTTTGGATACTCATCTATAGAAAATATTATGTTTCTTCTCAAATTGATTCCATACGGTAATTCACAATCATATTGTTCTTTATTTGCCTGAAGATCCACAGGACTAACCTCCATCAAATATTATTTCACATGATATTGTCGTCCGTAGCGGAACAGCCCCCTCTAGCTATGCTACTGTGTCTGAGATCACATGAATTAAATAAATGAAGATGAAACTTTCGTGTATAATTAAAAGCCTTAATTAACTTTATAAGATAAATACAAACAAAATGGAAGCAAATTATCTGAATAAAAACGCGTGTCTGTAAATTATAAGACATGTGAATACATTGTAAATTTAAGCTCTCATTTCTACTTTTCAGCTCTTTATTAGCACTTGGAAGTAGGTCTTACTATTTTTACTTGAATAGAAAAATTAAAACTCAACTCTTTTCAAAATAAGAAACGTTGCTAAGCCGCGTGCTGTAATACTTATGATAAGGAACTTGCTGACCAATTATCTATTGATATGCAATATACATCAAATTATGTACTACAAAGAATATAAATAGCAAATCATGCATTAGCTTCATTGTTGCAAATCATGCATTAGCTTCAGATTTTTACCAGTATTAAAACTATTGTTAAGATCCATCAGCGGCCCACAGTAATAATGCTGAAAACAGCTAGATCAACTCCAGTCCATATCCCGGCGAATGAGTTGTTTGTATGGGAGTTTTTCGTGTTCCCCCCCCCAAGAA